GCCAGAGTGTCGCTATGGTAAACAAAGTGAATTTTAAAGAATGCATTTATTCTATTGTGGTTTATGCGCTGTCGGCGAAGTAGGTTTAATTCAATCTAATAAGTTTTAAATAAAATGCAAGAGAAAATGCGTATAATTTAATATTCCGTACAAGGAAGTCATGTGGTGTACACATCAGATTTTTTATTTAAGCTGAAGGAAACGGACTGGTTTACGTGTACGTTCGTGAAAAATTCCTCCAGATAAGGATTTTGGAATTTTCTTCCAAACTGTCACACTTTACATTAAACGGTAAATTGCAGAGACAGATTTTGAATGAAAATTCGGACTTCATTCATCGTCCCATCATTTAGAGATAATAAGCATGGGCAAAGATTTTCTAAAACACCAAACAGTCCAAAAAATTGGTGAACTTAGCATGCTGAAACCACCGCTTAGCCTGTAACTGGCATTGCAGTTTTATTATTTAAAAGAAATTAGAGACTTTCTTCGAAGCTGGGAAGCCGAAAGGTGAGTTTAACTTATACTGTATTCGAGCACAAAGGCACTGGTTCAAAAAAGTATAATATTTCTTTATTTAATTTTAGAATATATTTCGTCGTCAAATCGATGCTTGTTTTTATAACTTCCGTGTATTCCCGCTTTGCATTTGGGTGTTAAGCTGCAGACGATCCTTGCCTACTGTTACATAAGAATATACACAAAAGAATCCAAAGGACTGTCAAAGAATGTAATTAGTATTCTTAAGAGGTTATATATATAAAACACGTGAGCAGAAGCTCTTATAAAAATGCTTATAGAGAAAAACAAATGCTTATAGAAAAAGAAAGCATTTGCTTAAAATACAGTGCTAATAATATATAAAATGCTTATAGAAAAAGAAAATGCAAACAAAATTTTAATGATATTTTCTGGAAATTTATACCAATGGATGTCATTGTGGAATTACAAACTCTTAAATTGGGGCGTATATGGCTGTTATACACTTTAACAGAGCCTTTCTAGGCCTACTAGATATTTTAAATTGTATAAGTATGAACATGGTAAATAAGCAGTCGAAAGATTTAGTAAGCTCGACATAAAGTGAATAAGTAAATCAAAATATCACTCACTACACAGAGTAAAAATTGCCACATAAAACAAATAGGCTAAATATAAGCAGCAAAACAGATAAAGTTGAACTAAAGGAAGGTACAACCTATAGATATGGGAAGTTTTAGGTATCTGAGGGAAGATTTAATAATAAAAATATAGCATTTTAAACTTTAAATGCATTTTTCTCAAAATATCTTTTTTCTAAAATCTTGCTTACTAGGCGCAAGATAAATCCAATTATTATTATTTTATTTTTATGAAACTTTGTATACTTAATCCATATATGACTTACCAGAATGTTTATATGTTAAATATTTTTGAAATTGTAGCCTGTTATTAAAATAATGACATCGTGAATTTATCAAAAATCTCATATAAAAAATTTTCAAAAATCTGAATTTTTTTTTAAGTTATCCTTAAAATTCTATGGCATTCTCTAGATCAAAGCATGTAATGTATTGTTGCTTGCGTACGGGTTCGTTATGAAATGAATGCACAAGTCCGATGAAAAATGAACAAAAATGCTTAAATTTTCTCAAATTATCATGCAGTATTACAATATCTCACAGTAGTTACCTTTTAACTACTCAAATGTCCAATAGAACGTCATTCAAAACAGCTAAAGAACGCTAATCCGCGAATTCGCTACAATCAACAAGAGCAGTTTTCTAAACAAAGTAAGCAACAACTACGAACTGAGATGTTTTCCTCCTTTTATAAGATTCTAAAATCGCGCGCTAAAATTTTCCAGTACTTTCTCGAAATCAAAAAGAGATATTTATTTATTTAATGCACGCGCTCTTGTATTTTCAATTTTCCGGCTTAGCTTTCTTTTAATATTCGCACGCGCTGCACTGCGCGAGAAATAAAACCATTTAATTTATTATTAAACTAACATTAGCTTTTTAAATACCAAATTCGTAACAGTATTATTGTATGACTTTTGTAATATAACTTTAACATTTCTGCATACAGAATGTTTCAAATTGTTTTAAAATTTGTTAAAATTTCACGCATATTTAATATTTTTTGCAGGATAATAATAGTATATATTAAATTTTGATATACCATAATTAATCTATGTAGAAAATAAATAAAAAACATGTTTATATTATACTTATACTGCTTTTTTGGAAAAAAAAGTGCTCCCGACATAGTCGTATGCCTTAAATAAAAATGTCACGTATATTTTGCAAAACATTTTCAAAATAACTTTTGCTTTAGATGTTTCAGTTTAGTTTGCAAAGTAAAATAAATAAGATATGAATAAAAACGTTCAGTAGTGTCAAATAGGGAAATAGTTAATAAAGTGTAGAGTATGCAAATATATTGTACAATAACCACGATAAACTTAATGATATTTTAACAAAAATTTCAACAAAAACACGTTAAATTCATACTCAGTAACTTCAGAACATGTTGTCAATTAAGTATGAGGTAAAACAAACTTACAATCACTTTCGCTTATGAGAATAATTGTACAGGACTCTGAAAAAACACTTTCTTTTAAATGTATGAAATATTTCTTAACATATTTGTAAGGAGAAAGTGCAGCATTCTGAGTTCAGGACTCTTCTGAATATGCAGACAATTTCTTATTTACGGATAACAACACAAAATAAGGCTTCAGAAAATATTATTTATCACGTATAAAAATCTGTTTTGTGACACAGTAATAACTGTTTGTCAATGTAATGACGATTTAATTGAGATTAAATTCTTTGGAATTATTGAATTCATGAAATGATTTTGACTTAGCCTTTGAAATTTATCATTACAGGCAGATTTTGTTGATTGTTATGCATGCATTAAAAACATCACAATTATTTAAATACACCTGCAGAGTTTTCAGAAATGTAATGTTCTTATCTGAAAGCTCCGCATTCATTTGTAAATTTTTATTCTATTGCCAAATTGTTATACAATACTGTGATTACAAATATATAGTACTTTTAAAATCCTTGCAATTAATGAAAACAAATTATACGTATTTTTTCCCACAGTAGTATTCAGTTTATTTTATTGACTTCGGACCTTAATGTCATTATTCTGGAAATTATTTTAACCAAGAAAAGGTAGCGGGACCCATGCATAAAACAACTCATCTAGTTTTTCAGCAATAGTGTTATAAAATAAGCAAAAAAATTAAAAGTAATGTCAACGATATTCAAACTCATTATGTTACGTATATCTTTGGCAACCATTCAGAGTTTAAATTACGTTTCTAAATTAGTATTCTGAAATTATTATTTATATTTTAATAAATTTAAATATGCTAATGATTTTCAAATCACATTACTATAATTTCCACAATTAGCACAGGAAAACAAAATCTACATATTAAATTAGGAACGAAATCAAAACATCTGCATTAGCCATGTTTGGCGAAGGGTACGTTAAACCGAGAGTAATTTAATAATAGCTGGTGTTACAGAAATTAGCAGATACGTGGTTACTGTACACAAGAATTTCACGTTACTTGCACATTATAAACATTTGAGAAAATATAAACTTTAAATGAAGTAATAGAACACTGGTAGTTCGGTCCGAGGTTCGAATCCCGCGAACGGCTGGCTGCATGGCCGTTTTCGTGGTTTTCCCCATGTGTAACGTGTATACGAGTCAGTTTCCCTTAAAACGTCCTCCACGAAGGCATCCCTCCCCTTAGGCAGATAGCCTTAGTGTGCTTTGCCATAATTAAATACACACAAATGAAGGAATAAATAATATTATACTTACTAGGCAAAGGTGAGCACCTGAACCGGATTTCCAATTATCTCTTCGGCAATTATTTACCCAAATTTTTCTTTTTCCTTCATTTTTAGGAAATATTACCAATAGATAACCTTTCTGTGAATGATTTGAGCACTTAATAGCTGCACATTCGCCCATTTTAAACAAAAAAGCACAAAGTATTTTGCACCGCTAACTATGCAGCTGTCATTGCTACTTGGACTAGCGCAGAGTTTGTTAAACTGTGGTTTGCGACCCCCACGGGACCTGCAGCAGGGAGTCGCCAAAAATTTTAGCAGTTATCATATTTCTTTAACTTATTATAATAATTTTACAATTACCAAATATTTTTACACAATGTATTCAGACAAAGAAAGAAACGAAAACTATTCGACGCATTCTTTTTATAATATAAACGTTCATTTTACTTGCTTTGCACGTGACGCTGTCATTTCGTCTGTTACTTATTTAAAATTTTAACATTGCTCTATGTCTTAAAATAAGAAATTAATGTCCTAAAACTGCAATAGTATAATACAGTACAAGTGTAAAAATTGACAGCTTCACTCACGCGTGTGTCAGATTTGCGCAATACTTATGATTACCCACAAAATTTTTGTAAATATTCTAGGATCCTGGGGGTCACGAAAATATCTCAATGATAAAAAAAAAAGGTCACGATTGAAAAAAGTTTAAGAAATCCTGGGCTAGCGGATGATTCAGCCCAGTATATAAGAGCCTTAGATGAGGGTAGTATTTTCAACACCTCCCTCAACATACTGTACATTTGCAACAGCACATTACAGCCTTCATTATAAGGTGATAGGTCACATATAGACTTGACTATTTTTAACAACACTTTGTTTGTTGTACTTTAGGATACATTCATGGTTAGATTATTTCACGCTTTTGTTTCATTTTCTCTAGCTTATTTAGGCCCCTAAATAGTTTTTTTACATATGTATTTTTTTACATTTTTATCAAATGTATTTATATAGTGTTAACATCTGGGCTTACTTCTCTCTTTTTAAAACACATTTCGTATCAAATGCTACGAAATTATTTTTCTCTGAAAAATCTGCCTCGCACTATTTGCTTTTCCTTCTCACCTAAGTTGGATTTTTCGCCCAGCGGGCAGAAAGACTTAATAGAGTACAAAAACTGCGGCGAAAGCTTTTGATTTGGGGTGATCAAATGTTGTATGTTTCAAATGTTTTCTTTTTTCCCCCTCCCTTCATCTGCATCTTGAAGCAGTGAATATACATTTTTTTGTTTAATATTAATATGAAATTTTCATTCTTTTCAACAAAAACCTTCGCAAACAGTGTATGGTGATATGCGAAATCTGTTGAGAAATTTAAAATAAGCGCCTTCTTCAAACTGTCAAGTACTGGCCAACATCATGTAATCAATCTAACTTTTACGATATAATTGCGTAAATTTATCCTTAAACTTACATATATGCTCGGGCAAATATGTGAGGTATAAGAAATTAATTTTTAATGAAGTACTCTTGGAAACCAGGGTATGCTGATATCACACAATAGATCGCACAATATATTTTCTATTTTTAATCATGTTAACCACATATGTATTTGCGCAAGATACCAAAAGCGAATGTAAAGCAATCAAAAACTACTTTTGATAAAATTTCTGCTAACCAATTTCTATTAGTTCTGCACAGAAGGTGAATATCCTTGCGACATATTGTGCAAGTTATATGATATGAAGCCTGTCAGTTTGTGGTTATCTCTGTAGGGCAGAAACTGCATATATAAGAGCTATGCAACCAGTCATTTCGAAAAAAAAAAGCAATATTTTAAATGCAATAAACCTCATGTGTGAGATAGGTAATTAATTATTTAAACTAAACGGAACTGAAGAATGATATATTTCTTCATGCAGAAGAAAAATGTCGTGTGTGTGGCATGCAACAAATCACTTAGACGAAAGAGTTCTTTAATTGATGATCTGCTTCTTCACACAAGAGAGAAGTTTGTGAAGTATATAACAAATCATTCAGACTAAAGGGTCATTTAAAGCACCATATGTGTATTCAAACAGTAGAGAATTTTCATATATGTAAATTATGTAGATAAAAGGGTCCATTAAATGTACATAAGATTATTCACACACCAGAATAACTTTGTGTGGGAGATATGTAGTGAGTCATTTAGAGTAAAGTTTTTTAAACAAGCATGTGCTTTCTCGCATAGTAGAGAAACCTGATGAATGTAAGGCATGTAACAAGCCATTTACATTAAAGGCAGTTTAAACCATCATATGCTTATTCACGCAGGAGATAAATCTCAAGTGTGTGAGAGATATGTTACAAATCATTCAAACTAAAGGGTGATTTAAATAGCCACATGCTTATTCACACAGGAGAAAAACCTCTGCGTGTGTGAGGTGTGTTACAAGTCATTCAGAGGAACAGGTCTTTGAAACCTCATGTATGTAAAATACGTTACAAATCATTCAGATTAAAGTATAAACTAAATAACCATATGCATACTCATACAGGAGAAAAACCTTACATGTGTGAGGTGTGTGATAAGTCATTCAGAGTGAAAGGTCACTTAAACAAACATATGCATGTTCACGTAGGAGAGAAACCTCATGTGTGTGATGTATGTGGCAAGTCATTCAGAATAAAAGGTCAATTAAACCAACATATACGTATTCACACAGGAGAGAAACCTTATGTGTGTGAAATATGTAACGTCTCATTTACATTAAAGGCTGTTTTAAGCCAACATATGCTTATTCACACAGGAGACAAATCTCATGTGTGCGAGATATGTATCAAACCATTCAGACTAAAGGGTGATTTAAATAACCACATGCTTATTCACACTGGAGAAAAACCTCACATGTGTGAGGTGTGTGGGACATCATTTAGAGGCAAAGGTCAGTTAAACCAACATATGCGTATTCACACAGGAGAAAAACCTCATGTGTGTGAGATATGTAACAAGTCATTCAGGTTAAAGGGTACTTTAAATAACCATAAACGTACTCATACAGGAGAAAAACCTCATGTGTGTGAGGTGTGTGACAAGTCATTCAGATTAAAAGGTCATTTAAACGAACATATGCGCGTTCACGCAGGAGAGAAGCCTCATGTGTGTGAGATGTGTAACAAAGCATTTAGATTAAAGGTTGCTTTAAATAAGCATATGCTTATTCACACAGGAGAAAAAACTCATGTGTGTGAGATGTGCAATAGATCATTTAGACTCAAGTACTTTTTAACCAGGCATCTGCTTTGTCATACAGGAGAGAAATCTTATGTATGTCAGGTATGTAAGAAGACATTTGGACGAAAACATTCTTTAAATGAACATATGCATATTCATACAGGAGAGAAACATCATCAGTGTCAAGTTTGTAAAACATCATTTAGACATAAGTGTGCTTTAAACAAGCATATGCTTATTCATACAGGAGAGAAACCTCATGTATGTGAGGTATGTTGCAAATCATTCAGAATAAAAGACCAGTTAAACCAACATATGCCTATTCACACAGGGGAGAAACCTTATGTGTGTGGTTTATGTAATGAGGCATTTACAGTAAAGGCTGTTTTAAACAAGCATATGCTTATTCACTCAGGAGAGAAACCTTTTGTTTGTGAGGTGTGTAATGAGTCATTTACTGTAAAGGCTGTTTTGAACAAGCATATGCTTATTCACACTGGAGAGAAACCTCACATATGTGAGGTATGTGAAAAGTCATTAAGTTCAAAGTGGTCTTTAAAAGAGCACATACTTATTCACACAGGAGAGAAACCTCATGTTTGTGAAGTATGTAATAGATCATTCACATTAAAGCATCATTTATATAGGCATTTACGTGTCCACACAAGAGAGGAATCGTGTGAATTATATATGTAATGTTGTTTGATAAGAGGAATTTACATAAATGTGTATTCAGATACTTCTGACTTATGCCTCTCTTTGCCCTCTCTTTTGTGTCTTACTTACATATGCAGTATGGACTTACATATGCCATGTAACAATGAAACCTAATTATATGGCCCTAACATTAGTATTATTATTGAAATAGATTTCTAATTATGTTATTATAAAAAAGTATGTAGTTTGCTATTTGATCAGAATGCTCAATAAGCTATTTATTTTATTATTTTCCTCAACAGCAAAATTCTGGCATAGAAATTTAGCATAAATTTAAAAAGAGTACTTTATATCTGCATTTCAGTGCATGGAGCAATCTGATGCCCATTGGCTGAATGATGGCTATACCTGTGTGAAACTTTAAATGAACTATAAATAGTACAGTTTTTATAATCAGCACTGTTTCTGTGCCATCTATTAAATCAATGGATTTCATATATTGTCAAGCTTTGGGTATGAAATGATTTTCAGGTCCATTAAATGCCCAATGTTGTATGTTTTTCTGATTAAGAAAAATGTACATTTGTGCAATCCTACAGCTTGCATATGCCCAAATCTGTGTCTAACTATGGAATCTTTGATATCACATCATACCTTTTTGCAAGCATTTCAGCCAGAAACGTTCAGTTTATATCACCATTAATATGTTCAAAGAACTCAAATTGTTTCAATTATCAATGGAAGGGGTTTTTGCCTAAATAGAAAGTTTAGCTTATATCATGCCGATTTATGCCTTTGGTTAACTGTGTCAGATATGTATAATCCATTTCAGTCCATTTCACCATTGAATTTTGGCTTGAGTCGTTACTTAACATTAGACCTATCAATGGCGATATATAAAAGCCTAGTTGTGATATTGTCTTATCCATTCAATCAACCCTTTGTTGTGATTATCACTGTCAGAATAATGAATAATTTTTTGGTTATTTATTACAAATGGGGTATCAAGAAGAGAAAAAAAAAATTGTAATATCATAGTTTGCTGAATTTGTAATAGCAGAAGCTTGCAATGCCTTACTGGGGCAATTCCATGTTGTGTGTTGATTGACATCAAAACATGGTTCCGCTTCACAAGTCCGAGTTTTCTTCCACAAAGAAATAGTCAGCAATAGTGCCTTTTGTTGCCAAACTTGCCAGTGGTAATGGTTTTAGAGACATGCAATTAAAATTTGAAATAAAACGGGATATGTAATGTAGGGCAAATTTAGTGTTTTAACTCTTTCGCATCGAGAGACGACCAAATCTGTTTTCAACAAACATCGAAAACGCCTGTGTTTACGAATTTGTCTTGGAATAGTTTTCCTTTCCCCCTTGCTGCTCTTGGAGGTTTTTCTACGGTTTCTTCCATTGTGTGCAGTTTCGCCTTAGGGCCGGATTGCACCTGCGAACGTCAATAGCTTTCCGTATTTCTCCTTTATTTGCTTCAAAAGAATGATTGACATGTCTTTTAACAACTCGCGAAACCAATGAGCCATACACTAACGTGGAGGGGAAAGAACTAGGTAGAAAATAAACGAGGCGGGGCGGTTTGACGTTGCCTGAATGAACGGGCGCTACGGGCGGCTTCGATGCGAAAGAGTTAAACATGATATTTCATTGCACAGCATGTTACTAGGCATATGTAAGTTAAATTTAGCTAAAAATTAGTTGATTAAACACATGTAGGTTAAATTTAGCTTGTTAAACATGATAATTAGTACAATTAAATTAAATTAGAAAAGCATGATATTAAACATGTGTATTTAAAAATTAGCTTGTTCTGCATGGTATTCAATGCATTTCAGGTTGGCTGAAAAGCATGATGTTGAGCGTTAAGCATATGTAAATAAAGATTAGCTTAAAAGGTAAAGGTAAAAGATTAGCATAAAAAGTAAAGTAAATGTTAGCATTATTATTGAAATAGATTTTTAATTCTGTTATTGTAAAAGAGTTTAAAAAAATGGTAAAAGTTTACAATTGGATGCCCCTTGCTTTTTTGGTTATTCTTTTTTGACGCCAAGATTGGTGCCAGGAAGGTAAAATTTCAAGATGGTCGCTACACAAAACCAAAATAAGAAGTCAAAGAATTATACAAACTCTGTGCCCATGTGTACATCAATCTATTTTCACTTAAAAAAAAAAAAAAAAAAATCAGAAAATTGCGCAAACTCGGCATGGCACACTGCCTTCATTTTGTCCATGTACACATCCATCTATTTTCACTTCAAAAAAAAAAAAAAAAAATCAGGCAGCTAAAAACAAAGTTAAAACTATCATAGTAACTAGAAATGGGGTTTCATCACCAAAAATGAACGAAATTTGTCGCCAATCGAAGAAGCACCCAATTCTACACTAGAACAAAAAAAACTTGTATACTAATATCTGGCAATACTTCATTTCGTTTTTCAGATTCTTTTGGCCCTGACATTAGTATTATTATTGAAATAGATTTCTAATTATGTTATTATAAAAAAGTTTAAAAAGGGAAAAAAAACTTTTATATCTGGCAATACATCATTTCTGTTTAGTCCAAAGGGGCTTTGTCCCTGAGGGACTATTGTTTTCATTTTGCAATTTTGTGTTGAATCACTCTGTCTGTCTGTTTCACTTTTTAGACTGTTGCCACCAAATATTATCTCCCTGTATTATATTTGAAGAAATTAAATAATAAAGAATCTGCATAAATGTATGTATGTTTCTCGCATTGTGATAAAACAACGGTACTTAGAGCCATCAAATTTTGAATGACGTAATCCTACTGCGAATATGGGCATCTGGAAGCCCAAATTTCAAATTTGGAATTTGTTTTATTATTTATTTCATATTTTGTAAATTTTTAAGGAATTTTTGATTAACAAAACTCGAGGATTTCAAAACGAGCAATGGCAATGTTGTACAGAAAAAAAACATATTTATCTCCAGCGTGTGAGACTGTGTACTGGAAATTCTAAAGATATGCTCAAATTAAAATTATTTTGCGATATTGCTCTTGAACTGAATTTTATGGTGTAAGTGTGAAGAACATATTTAATAAATAAAGGTAACACACAAAATGTTTTAAAAAATGCCCCTTTGGACGTAATTTAAAATCTGAAACCTTTCAGATTTTCTTTCTTTCTTTTTTTTTTTTTTCCCCCAGATTTTTTTTTTTTTTTCCCTGAAAAGCCTTCCTTTTTCACAAAAACTTATGCCATTAAAATTATATTGCCGGAGATGTATTACTGTAAAAGCATATAATCTTTAATTGCGTTGAGAATTTTCATGAATGGATCTTTTTGTTTTGTTTAACTTCACACCAAAATCGGTATTCGAGGGCATGATCAGCTAATATTTTCTTTCAAAGACCTTTTTTTTAATGTAATTTTACTTCCAGAGGACACATGTTTGATTCATTTGACTGGGTATGTGCACCAATTACTGTACTAATGAAATTTGTGGAATGATTAACAGTCTGATGCACATAATACTCAAGTCTGCCATTCAACAGCTGTAAGAGTTGTTTTCTTTGCCATGTGCTTCTTAATCAATGGCATCAGAATCTTCATCGTTTGCTGTGAATATATTTTCGATGATGCCAATGATCCTTCTGAAATGCACCATTGCAGACAAGCATCCATCTCAAACAACTTACTTAATTGAACGAAAATAATTCCATCTATTCATAGTTAAAAATTTCAGAAAAGATAATGGGGAAATTGGACAAAATAATAACAAGAAGTGTGCACATGCATAGGCGAATAGCGTGTGTGATGCTGCAACATACAAAACTATGAACAGTAATGTAAGCTGCCAAAAAGCCCAAGTGGAGGCTTTTATGTACGTCCTGAGAAAGGGCCATCTGTCCTTCTCAAGTTTATGCGTCTGTCTTCTGAACTAAAGCAATTATTTACTTACCAGTTCTCAGGGCTCCACACATTTAACTATAAATGCTAGGTTGGAACATTACAACTGTAAAAAGTTAAAATTTATCATTTTATACCATCAGGTTTATTATGCACAAGAAGGTATAAAATGTGGACTGATTGCACAGAAAAAAATTCCTAAGATCCAAAATTTTTAGCGATGAAATTTTCCAGCACAATTTGTATATACTGCTGCAAAACTCTCTATTTTCTGTTTATGCAATTTCAAAAGTGTTGTTTACCTAAGCAAACATCTAACGATTTCAGAGTGCAAATACTGAAAACTGAAAGTGTATCTATTCATTGAGAGGGTCTGCTATTCAACTGAAAACTAAAGTCAGTGACATAAACAGCCCTAATGGGCCAAGGCCTGCAGTACCCGAAATCTGCTTTCTTGACTATGGGCCCTGGGGTGCATATGCAACAGGTGGTCAGCTTGTCGCAGCCCCCCCCCACCGGTATTTAATCCCCAAGCGAACTTGGTACTCATTTTATCGACCCAAGTGATGGAAATCAAGGGATGAAAGGCTGAGTCGATATTGCCGAGCCCGGGAATTGAACCACGCTATTCAACTATTATACCCTTTTTCAAGCGAGAATACCTCATTAGTATTTCTTAATTTCTGTGTTCTGCACAGTGAATGTTTACTGTTATTGTAAAAATATATACAGTACAAAGTCCGTAATCCAGACTTGTCAGGACTTTGGAAATACCGGATTAAGGGTTTTTCTGGATTATAGATAATCAATTTAAATCTGGCAAGATGGCATGCAGAAATTATACTATTAAAAATATGCAACCAGAATTTATGAAATAAAGAGCAATTGTGATCTAAAGGGTATCAAAATTTACAAAAAAAAGTTTAATATTTATTGGTTTATTTTAATAAACATTTCTTTCAATGTAAATCGTTTAAGTTGCTTCGTTTTTGTGCTAAACGCACATGCGTAAACATTAAATGTGCATGCATAAAGCATAACCCTCCAAAAAAAAGATTGTGGCTTTGAGGTTCCGATTATAGATCATTCCGGATAATGGATGTCAGGATTACAGACATTGTACTGTATATATTTCTGCCAATCAATGATATATAAAGATCTTTCATTCATTTTATATACTGTAAAAAGTTTAAATTTATAA